TATGCATTTCTATATATGGGTTTATTTTATAGTAATTTATAGATCTCCTTTCTATAACAATTTTGGTGATACTAATGTTTCCACATCTATGCACCTCACCACATTTAGATTACAGTTAAAATATTGTTTCAGTTAATACTTTTTTGATGAACACAGATTCTCCATGAAACTTTATTGAAGACTATATGAAATCTTGAAATCTTCTACCTTAATTGTCTCATTAAGGCTACTTCAATTGTTGTATTTGGGGTTTGAAAGGTAATAGGTTTAATACAGGACACAAAATTTATAGGATTATTTTACAATATTCACCCAAAAAGCTGAATACGGAAGAGTGCAGATAAGTCCACTCACTAGAGACCCAAAGAATCTAGATAAGGACATGTATCCAAGGCAAGGTCATACATGCATCCAACTGAAGATCTAGAGCCCATGGCAACAGCCTCCATGACTCTAGCTGGAGACCCAAAGCCCAAGACAATGTCTCATGTAAGTCTGTTTCACTTATCTATGCTGGGAAGGCCCAAAGGTCAGTGGTGGAAGCTAGAAAGTCTGCAACAGTAGGGTGAAAGATCTGTGTCAGCAGACTGAGAGATCTGCACTGGAGCTGGGAAGCAGCACTCAAGGTAAGGACCAGAGATCCTCTGAAGAGAACCACAGCCATCCTCAGTGACAGTGAGGACCCAAGCTCTTCCAATGATGAAGACAGCTGAGTTCTTATCAGGAAAACCAGAATGACAAGCTTCTCCAGGCGAATCAACAGCACAGCACAGCATCATGGTTCTACTTTCATGCTTTTGGCAACTATTAGTCAATCCATCACCTCTTTATTTTTTAAAAAATCTTTTATTTATTTATTTTTTGGTGCAGGGTCTTGCTATGCAGCTTGGACTCATAGTGATCCTCTTGTTTCAGCCTCCACAGCACTGGGACTATAGGCATGTGCCACCACATCAGGATTCTGGAGCCTATACAGAATGTAGTACCAGGTATTGCACCCAGGGTCCTTGCTTGCCAGGCAGGCACTTAGCCTGCCAATCTATCTCCCTAGCCCCACCACCATAATCTTTCTAAAAGCACAAAGCATCAATTTCAATGGATTGTTTTGCATTGCCTTCTCTGTTTCTGTGGCTTATTTATTCAAATATAGCAAGTTTCAACTACAAAAATAGGTGAGTGAGAAAAGTCTGAATTGCAGTCTATGGAAAGAGAACACAACTCTACAAGATTGTTTTCAATCATCCATTGCTGGGGTTAAAAGTTACATTACAATATTAGATGAGTGACAGAGAGATATTATTACTGCATTTCACACATATATTAAATATCAAACCTTAAACTTTCAAAATGTTTTGGTTTCCATCATCACATTTTGGACTTGTGGGTATATCGCAGGGGTGGGGCATGTGCTTAGCATGTTCAAGGCTTGGGGTTCAATCTCCTGCACTAACACCCCTCCAAAAATATCATCTTCATATGTCCAATGAACTCTAAGTCATCAACAGCCTTTATTGTCATTCCAGCTGTTAGTAACATACTAATTAGTTTTACATTTATGTATAAAATTAGGCTAAAATATCATGTTAAAATAGGGTAAAAATTAAAGAAATACAAAGGTAGAAAAATGTTATGCATCTAATGATAATAATGTTGACTGAATTTAATACAAGTGCTATTTGATAGGCTGAGTTGATAAACGAGGCAAGTTGAATGGGTCAACTCTGGAAAGAATTTAAGAGTATCTTTGTGGAAATGCAGTTTTTTTTCTGAAATTACCTAGTGTTTTACACTTAATGCAAATTTTATTATATCATATATAATTGATAGTTCAAACACTGAATCTGTTTTTGGAATTATTTTAGTAGCTGCAAACATATCTGAATGCTTCAAAGCAGTGTATTAATTGATATTAATCAAGTTACAAGTCACAGTGAAGTTCCTCAAAGCCTAATGGAGGGCTAGGGATGTACTTTAGTGTGTAGCACCTGCTTATCAAGTAAGAGGCTCTGAGTTTAATTCCTGGTATCCAAAGGGGAACAAAGAAAATCCTAATGGAAACACTAAGCCACTGATGAACACACAATACATATTTTCTATATGGTTTGTGTGATAATATAAAATGCAATATATATATATATATGAGAAAAGATAATCTGGTTGTTCAGGATAGAATATTGGACCTCATTATTGGAATATTGTCTTGAAAGAAAGAATGGACTGAAACCAGAATTAAACTGAAATTATCATGCAATGGCCTGAGTTTAATCCCCAGTCCCACCAAAACCAAAACAAAATAAAATAAATAAGTAAATAAATGAACTGGAATTATCAACACAAATCATGAATTTCTCTATTACTAAAATAATTCAAGCTGTATCATATTCTATTCTACCTATGACTAGAGTTGCAAATGTGCTTCCTACAATTCCCAGGATTAAGTTTTAAAGTACTAATGGATTACCCTTCTCTGACAAAACTAAACAAAAAAAGAGGATACAAATGAACAACCATTTTGTATCTGTATATTCAAAATAGTCAGGATAGATATACAGCTACATTCTCTTAAGCCAATGAATAGAAAGTTCTAATAGTGTTTGTGGACAGGATATCATGTCTGTATCTTGTACAATAAATAACCACTAAGAAAACAATGTGCAATGTATTACTTATTGAAACTG